CCCATACAAGGGGCACCATCATCAGTGACAGCAGCACTGCGTTTTCATTAAGCTTTCTCTCAAAGTCATTTCAGATGACGGAGATATTGATCTTCCTGAAGAGGAAGGAAACGCAACACACAGCAGTTAAAGAAACACCCAGCCATTGGGAAACCTGAAACTGACGGGTCTCAAAAGGGCAAGATCTTGCTGTGATGTCTCCATATGAACATGGAGCACATATTTCACTCTGAATTACCCTCGATTGAAGCCAGAGCAACAAAACTTAGGGGTAAGTGGAGACCTCTTAGTTCATCTACCCTTGCTGTGGTAGAAAGGTTTATCCTCCAGCTAATTATTTATCTAATTCTTATTAGCTAATTATGTTGGCCTGATTTTCTGTAAGTGACACAACTAAAAAGCTTTTCACTTGCTTCCTGTGTATACATCTGCTATTTGCTGCTTCTTCAGAACTCATAGCACTATTGACCCCAATGTCTTTTTGAGACTGAATTATTCCTGGTGATTCTGTGGCTGCCCCATCCCTGGCAGTGCTCAAGGCCAGGTTGGACACAGGGGCTTGGAGCAAGCTGCTCTAGTGGAAGGTGTCACTGCCCGTGGCAGGGGTTGGAGCTGGAGGAGCTTTAAGGTCCCTTCCAACCCAAACCATCCTATGATTCTGTTCTATGAAAAAGGGCATTTTTAGGTCTTCACTGTTCAACAGAAGGTGGACTCAGGGGGGAGTGGACTGGGCTGTGCAGAGGCAGCTCCCCCATGCCCGACATCCATAGGTACCAGGACACCCTTTCCACAAGAGCACTAGTTCCCTCCAGTGAGGAGGGCAAACAGCAGCCTCCAATGCTGCACTTGTTCAGGGAGCTGCTCCACTGGAGATGATCATCTGTCTGCCTTACAGAGGAGCAAAAATGAGGGACTGTAGTGACAGCACAAGGGGTAACGGGTTCAAACTGAAACAGGGCAAGTTTAGATTGGATCTAAGGAAGAAGTTCTTTAGTGTGAGGGTGCTGAGGCACTGGAATGGGTTGCCCAGGGAGGTTGTGAATGCTCCATCCCTGGCAGTGTTCAAGGCCAGGCTGGACAAAGCCTTGTGTGCCATGATTCAGTGTGAGGTGTCCCTGCCCATGGCAGCGGGGTTGGAACTGGATGATCTTAAGGTCCTTTCCAACCCGAACTATTCTATGGTTCTAAAAATCTGAGCACACCACAGTCAAAACACCATCCAACAGCATCCCCCTCTCCTGTCAATCCTTCCAGTTCCCAGAGGCATCCTCTGCAGGCAGCAGACAGGAATAGACACACGAAAGGACATCATTGATGGAATTACTGTACCTGCAGTAAGCAGAGTGAATTCAGGAGGACAATGCTGTGCACATGCCTTAAAAATTAGCTCCATGTTGTTCATACTTCAAAAATAAACCCTGTGCTTCTCCTATCTCTGTACTATCAGTGTCTCATTTCAGCTCTGGCTTATACAAGTTTTCCTGTCTGTTGTAGGCATTTATTTAAAAGGATATCTACATTACAGAAAGAAGTTTGAAGTACAGCCAATATTAAATATGAACCTTCACAGCACTCGGGATGGATCACACAAAACCTATTGCTATCAGACAGGATGAGGACTACACCTGGATGAGACCTGGTGCAGAAGGGCACAGGCGACAACAAGAAGATAAGATTACAGTTCAAGAGGATGTGGAAAGCCTGCACAGAGCAGCCTCGTGGATACAGCCTCCTTCCATTCAGCTTGAATTCTGCTGCACCACACTGCAAATCAGTTAAGGCAATATCCGAATCATTCCCTAAGACAGCTCTCAACCCATAAAACAGGCATCACATACAGGGTACCCATAAACGATGCTCCACAAAGAATACATTATTAAAGAGGTCTAAATTATGTATCAGTTCAATTTACAATACTTTGATCATGGGGCACCAAATCGTGTTTAAGGTTACAAGGGGATTCTGCTTTCATTAATATTGTATCAGGAAATCAGTAATAAAATGCCTACCAAGAAACAAAGAGCTGCTCACCGTGGGCATTGCAACAGCAGCCCTCAGGTTCAGCTCTTCCACAGCCACTTCCCAGGACACAAGGATGCGGGGCTGGAAAGCCACAGCATCCCAGTGTGCACAGGACATGGAGAAAGGAACCAGGTTCTAGTGTGTATATATTATTCCCTGAGAACACCATATTGAGGACAGGAACATTTAGGGACAGGCCAAGGGGAATGGCTTGAACCTGCCCAAGGGGAGACTGAGCTGAGCTCTTAGGCAGAAGCTCTTCCCTGTGAGGGTGCTGAGGCGCTGGCACAGGGTGCCCAGAGAAGCTGTGGCTGCCCCATCCCTGACAGTGCTCAAGGCCAGGTTGGACACAGGGGCTTGGAGCAAGCTGCTCCAGTGGAAGGGGTCCCTGCCTGTGGCAGGGGTTGGAGCTGGGTGAGCTTTAACGTCCCTTCCAACCCAAACCAGGCTGGGATTCTGTGATCCTTCCTACACTATGCATACAGGAATACAAACCCCAAAGTGGTTATTTCCAAGCTCAAGCATGACAATTGCAGTACCAGGCCTTCCATTTTTAAACAACCAGCAATTTCCTTGACAGCTTTTCACCTACTTTGCACCACGCTTGCTAATCCCAACAAAACCCCTGAGAGTGCTTCACACCTCTCAGCAAACTCAAGACACGTAACTGCATACTCAGCAACATCCTCAGCTTGAACCCTATTGCCATGCACCACATGAAAATCAAACTGCATTTTAGTGTGAGGTGTCCCTGCCCATGGCAGGGGGGGTTTAGAACTTGATGATCTTAAGACCCTTTCCAACCCTAACCTTTTATTCTATGGTCCTATCACCCTGCCAAAACAAGAGGCATGACCATGGGTTTGTTCCACAGAGCACAGGTCCCTGCTGCTTTCCCTGTTCTCTAGGCAGGAACAAGAGCCCAGCCTGCTCCACACACAGACCAGCCACCACCGCTCAGCCAGTCCCTCCTACCAAACCCCCAACACCAAAGAGCACCTTCTAGATGCTTTTACCCATTTACCTTTCAGCTGCTGTTGCTGAGGAATTGTCAGGGTCCTTCCAGATACATTCACCTTCTGTTTCTATATAAAGGCAGGTTTTTCCTACTAAAGCATCTTCTTCATTCATTGCTGATGGCCTTTGAGTGCTCTGATACCACCTACAGGCACAGGATCTCCAGCTGGTGTTAAGCCCTGCATAAATCTGTGCCAAACCCTACACTGGAAATGAAGACTGAAATACGGTATCACATTTACAAATGACAGTACCATTCAGAGGAGGCACAGACACCATCCTCAGCTTCTCCACATAACTGAACAACTTCTCCCGCAGAGCCTCCCACTCCTCCAGCGCAGGGTGGACTGTGCTCACATCAGTACATTCAGTATTCCTCTGTGGTCTGCGTCCCACACAGCATTCAACACATGCTCTTGTTCTTCAGTAGGACTGCCTAGCCCTGAGATCCTGACCCAATTTACACGACAACATCAAACAGCAAGTAGTGTGTACACACATGAAAGCTGCAGGGGACTTGTGACAAGGGCCTGTAGGGACAGGCCAAGGGGAATGGCTTGAACCTGCCCGAGGGGAGACTGAGCTGAGCTCTTAGGCAGAAGCTCTTCCCTGTGAGGGTGCTGAGGCGCTGGCACAGGGTGCCCAGAGAAGCTGTGGCTGCCCCATCCCTGGCAGTGCTCAAGGCCAGGTTGGACACAGGGGCTTGGAGCAAGCTGCTCTAGTGGAAGGGGTCCCTGACTGTGGAAGTGAATTGGAACTGGATGAGCTTTAAGGTCCTTTCCATCCCAAACCAGTCTGAGATTCTATAATTAAATGCATTTAAGGAATACAGAATACACGAGCCGAAGCACAGCAAGCCAGGATGGCTGCTGTAACACAGCTCCTATGTAATTCTTTCATTTGTGACCAAAGACAGCACAAACTAAAGCAACCAGACACTACACCCACACCATTTCTTCCTCACATTTTCCCTTCTCCCCCATTTCTAAACCAACTGCTTGCCTCAGTTCAGAAAACAATCATCTGCAGCTTAACTCCCTTCACACCCTCCCCAGTGCAGAGCCCCAGCACACATCCACATCCACACCAGCACAGCCCCCTGTACCCACAGACCTCAGCTGCACAATCTCTGCTGCTCCCACCTCCATCCTTACCCCCTTTCTCTCTCAGGGCACACGTGCTCCCACCCCAAGCACAAAGCAATGCAGGCTGCCCCCCCCAGCAGCAATTAGAGACCGTTACCCCCATTAGGGACTCCTCACCCACCTCCAGTGAGAACAACACATGGACCACCTGCATCACTGCATATCAACACTTGGACAATTCCACTTGTTACTCATCAGAGCAAACTGGGAACATAACACACCTCCTGGATGAGTAGAGCCCATTACATCCATATAAAAATCTCTTTTAAATGACACCAAGTTTCCAGCTGAACGTCACTGATTTTCATCAACAGTTACTTTCCTTTCCCCAGCCCCACAGCACAACATGCACTGAACATCCCCATGCACACCACAAGTATTTTTCAACTCCCAACCTCTTCATTTCCACTTCCCAAGTTTTCTCATAATGCTTATAACATCTTCGCAAAAGAACCCCACTAAGCAACACCATTTCCTTCAGCCCAGTGGTCCGTACCATACAAACCAGACCCAGGCAGTGGTTTAGAGGCTACACAGCTTAACACACAGCACATCCCCTTGCTCTATGGAAACAAGCCACAAGGAGAGGAACCTCAGCGGAAAATCAAACACAAGAGATGCCCTTTCCCATTCAAAAGCACTGCTCAGTCACAGGGCAGGTACCCATTCACCCTTTGGATAACCACAGTTAAAGGGCAAGAATACAATGATGGGAGAGAGTTAGAAGTTGTCTTTACATTACTCTTGTGAGGTTTGTCATTATTTTTCTCAGTATTTTAGACAAAACCATAAGCAGGAGGGATTAAAACACAGTACCTTTGTTTCTGGAAGTAATAAATGTGATCTTTTCCATGAAAGCCTCATTTGACGTCTCCCCGTCAGCCTGCATAAAGGAAAACACAAAGTTCCTCACCAGCTGCAAGGTTTACACCCACCTCCACACAACCAGGGGCTTCTCCCTTGCCAGCAGCATCCCTGATACCGGTCCCTCCGCTGACCCCCTTCCTCTAGGCACCATCTGATGCCAAATCACAGCCTTTGCCAGGCAGCAGCCGCGATGCTGGTGATGTGAACCAGCCAACCACTATCAAACCACCCTGATCAACAGCAAGTGGCAGCACATGGGTTTCACACAGCGTTACCCTTGCCTAAGGGAGGGTAAAAGAGTTTGCGCGCAGCCACATCACCCCCTGGGTCATTACTGCTGTATGTCTGAATTCCTAATGCACCCACAGCCCCCTTTGCCCCTGGACGAGCTGGATGAACACGGCACGGATACGCTAACGGGGGATAAATGGGTTTTTAAAGCTAAAGTTCGTACCCCAGCCCCATCCCAGGAGCCGGGAATGAGCCTGCACAGCCCGGACACCCACTTGGATGGTGCGCAGGGGAGTAAACAGCGATGCCCGAAGGGAGGCAGCAGTACCTGGCCGCTCCCCAGTATTATCGCGGGTGGGTCCCGCATCACCCAACTCCCCCCCCCCCTCCCTCTACCACAACCCGCAGCCATGAGGCTCCCACCGCCCGCCTCACCCCAGCACCGGCGTCCCCACCGGGGGCGGTAATTCCCGAGCACGGGCATCCCGTGGAGAAAGGGACACGCGTGCAAGGGCGAGCGCAGCAGCGGGGACCGGCACCGGGAAGCTCGCAAACACCCGGGGCGGCTCGGCCGGGTGGAGACCGGGAACAAGGAAGGGGAGAGGGAGGACAGGGAAGAGGAGGAGGAGGACGGGGCTCCCCCCGCACCTGCGCTGCCCGCCCCGGTCCCCACCGGCAGCACCAGCCCCGGCACTGCAGCATCCCCCGCCCGAGCGGCCCCGCAGCCGCTGCCCCGCGGGTCCCGCTCCCCGGCCCCGCTCACCTCGGCGGCTCGGCCCCTGGCTCCCCGCGCAGGGGCGGGCGGGCCGCGGGACGCAGGCGGTGCGGGGCGGCGGCCGGGCCGGGCAGGAAACCTCCGTCCTCCTCCTCCTCCTCCTCCGCCCGCTCCCGGGCGCCGCGGCGGCGGGCGCGGAGCCGCCTGGCGGACACCGGCGGTATCGCAGCGGAGGGGACCGGCGCTCGGAGCCTGCCCGGGGCGCGGCAGGGACGCGCGCTGGAGTCAGAGCTGGTGGTGCCCGGGCAGGTCGGGAGTGTGTCGGCTCTTCCGGCGCTGGGGATGTGCGGGAACAGGAGGGTTTGAAGCGTAGAATCGATTCAACCAGGTTGGGAAAGAGCTTCGAGCTCATCAAGTCCAACCATTCCCCAGCACGAGTGGTGCGCACTGAGACCCACCACTAACCCATGGCACTGAGGGCCTTGTCTACACGGTGTGTGAACACTTGCAGGGACTCCAGCACTGCCCTGGGCAGCCTGTTCCAATGCCTGAGCACCCTTTGGGGAAGACATCTGAAGGTGAATAAGGATGCTGGAGAGGGGCTCTTCATCAGGGACTGTAGCGATAGGACAAGGGGTGATGGGTTCAAACTGAAACAGGGGAAGTTTAGATTGGATATAAGGCACAAGCTGTTCCCTGTGAGGGTGCTGAGGCGCTGGCACAGGGTGCCCAGAGAAGCTGTGGCTGCCCCATCCCTGGCAGTGCTCAAGGCCAGGTTGGACACAGGGGCTTGGAGCAAGCTGCTCTAGTGGAAGGGGTCCCTGCCCGTGGTTGGGGTTAGAGATGGATGAGCTTTAAGGCCCCTTCCAACCCAAACCAGGCTGGGATTCCATATGTTGCTTTAGATGGCTGCATTGCAGAGCGGAGCTGAACAAGAGAAGTCTGAAGCCTTTGGCATCCACCTTTTCCCTTCAGGAAACCTCTGCAGCATCTCGGGCTGCACGGGGCAATGAACCGGGACGGTGAAACTCAGAATAGAAACGCCAGGCTGAAAAGTAGGGCAGGGAGGAGGGGATTACTGAGGAAAGGCAAGAATCAGGGCGCCTGAATGTTGCTTCCTTTTGTCTCCAGTCCCCTGGATTCCTCCTCTTGCAAAATAAGAGACTTCTATCTGCAAGAATCTCTCCTCCAGGAGAGATGGAATGGTTTGTGTTGGAAGGGGCCTTAAAGCTCCTCCAGCTCCAACCCTCACACCACCAGCAGGGACCCCTTCCACTGGAGCAGCTTGCTCCAAGCCCCTGTGTCCAACCTGGCCTTGAACACTGCCAGGGATGGGGCAGCCACAGCTTCTCTGGGCACCCTGTGCCAGCGCCTCAGCACCCTCACAGGGAAGAGCTTCTGCCTAAGAGCTCAGCTCAGTCTCCCCTCTGGCAGGTTCAAGCCATTCCCCTTGGCCTGTCCCTACAGGCCCTTGTCCCAAGCCCCTCTCCAGGTTTCCTGTAGGTGAAGAAGTACCATGGCTCCTAAATTAGTCAGGAGAAAGGAATGTGAAGCCGCTTCCAAAGACAATGAACGTTATATAATTATTAATGCCTTACTGGGAGGGGAAAGAGGTTTTCCATGGGTAAGGGGAGAACCTATAGAAATTGCACAACCATGAATTAAAGTTGGAAAAAAACTTCATCCAACCTTTCTCGCTCCAGCATCCCATGCTTGTGGCCAAAATACCACCACTGACACAGCATGACAGAAATGGAGCCTTGCTGCTCCACCTCAGTGGTCCCAGCCCTGCTTCCTTGCATCATCCAGGCTACTTCTAAGCCCAGGTTTACACAGTGGATGCGTTTTAGGATACACTGATGAGCTGGAGCCAGCAAGAATGAGTAAGCCCAAAGCTGAGTCAATCTTCAGTTGCTGGCTATAGGAAAACATCATATGATGCTCCGATATAGTGCTTCATCCACAGAACTACATCACTGCTCCACAAAGTCTAGGAGCAAGGGATCTGTAGAATGGGGCATCTTTAAACCCACCTTCAGTGCTCTCCAGGCAAGGTCTGAAGAGAATTTATGCTGGTAAGAAAGGGGAGAGGATGAAAGACGAAGCTGCTGTGGGATTTGAAGCAATTTAGCTCTATTGACAGAGCTTACCGGCTTCATCAGGAAATAAATCTAAGCAATTGGAGGACTGAAAGGCTGTAGCAAGAACAAGATAATAGCGGGTAGATGTCTGCGTGTGGAGCCCAGCAGAGCTCCAGCAGCAGCTTCTCTGTGTCTGTCTCTCATCCCGCTGGTCCTCTGTCTTTTCCTCTCACCCCATCACAAATCAAACCCATTCTCAGAAATGTCAGCTCTTTGGCAACTGTTTCACCCTTGCTTCCCGTTTGCCAGGGATGCTGCGGGGCTTCTGACAGCTCCTGGGGAGACCCAGCACCTGCACCCCAGGATTCACACTGTGGAAGTTACGTTCTTCCAGCAAAAGATGTGGAATCCTAGAATCCCAGCCTGGTTTGTGTTGGAAGGGACCTTAAAGCTCACCCAGCTCCAACCCCTGCGGACCCCTTCCACTGGAGCAGCTTGCTCCAAGCCCTGTGTCCAACCTGGCCTTGAGCATTGCCAGGGATGGGGCCTTTACTGCTTCTTTGGGCACCTCTTCCATGGCCTCACCATCCTAAGAGGGAAGAACTTCTTTCTTATCATATATTAATATATAGATAATTATATATATATTTACTTCTCTCTGTACATACCTGTTAACCCAAAAGGCAATGCATGGTCCCAGCCTTGAGAGAAAGGACTTCAAGGAGGAGAACCTATAGTGTTATTAAAGCATATGACACTGAGTATAACCTCCTAGTTTCCTTCACTTAAACAACAGCTCTCCAAATACTGGCAAAGCTCCCCCATTTGCTGAGAAATGGCCACTACACCCTTGTCAGCATCCTGGTGGATCTGCCTCTTTATTCTAGAACGCAAGCTGTGAATGTACTAAAGAAGTCAGAAAATCAGAGCACAGCAAATAACAGCTACAGACCCCTGATTTCTGTAACTGCAAACATATCTCAGCCTAAAAATACAGGATATACTCTAATTTAAAGTGCAGATAATTGGGCAAATACATGGGAACACGTAACATCCCACCAGTAGCTAATTTAACAACTTCAAAGCAGTGTTTGTCAAAGATTTCTATGTATGAAATCTAAAATGATGAGTATCTAGGAACATATTTAAGTACTCAAGACTACACATCTCTATAATTGTTGCAGAAGTTGCATTAAGTGGAAGCCTGCCCGGCCAGCGCTTCCCTCCATCCTCACTTTAGTGTTTGCTCTAAACATTACAAACCTTGGAGCAGCTTCAAAGCCCCATTTCAGTAAATTGAAAGCATTGCATAGGCACTATTTTCTCCTTCTTACAAAGCCAGAAAGCTTTTGCTTCCCACTCTTCAATACCCTATTCTTGACCACTCAACTCGCACTATTATTATTCCATGAGTAACAGCAGCTTTTTAATGGGAAAACACATTATTTTAAGGTTCTGCAAGTCATCTTTTGGGATGTGGGAAAACCCTTGGACCTATTAGAGGCTTTAGTGGAGCTGTTGTTGTGGCAACTGGAGGCACTGACTTTGGGGTTAAAGAAAAGTGGAAAACACCTTCGTACCTCCTTTGAAAACCCATTTTACCAGCATGGCTATGTTGTTCTGTGTAAAGCCGCAGGTATTTTACAGTCTGGAAATGGAGAAGAACAGGAGGAACGGGAAGTCAGTGTGCTGCCAGTGTATGGCTCTCCTTTCTGTGCCTTGTATGTGTTGGATAGGAAGTTCTAGAAGGTAAATGTTCCAATGGAAGAACTGATTTCTTATCAACACTTAATGCTGGCTAATTTCCTAACCTCAAAACCTTTGGGTAAAGGGCTGCCCCTGCATCTCCTCCACTTGCCATTCCCATTAGGGCAAGTGAAGGAGATGCTGAACGTGGCTTTTCCTCCTCTACCAAGACCAGGCAAATTTGGCCATGAGCTCTTCAGGTATCTGAGTCCAGAACACAGTTGTATTGTAAATATATTCTGAAGTGGCACAGGTTGTGCCTCAAGGCACCAGCTGAAGTATTCAGATGGTAGGAAGGAGGAATGCTCTTGCAGCTTTACAACAGTGTGTTGCTCATTGTACTTGCATTGATACCAGTGTGGTGGCTTTGGGATCTTCCACATTTTTACCTTTCAAGGTGAAAAGCAGCAGTCTCTGTTCCCACTGCTGCTCAGGTGAGGATGATGTTTCGGAAGGGCAGCACAATATTCCAGCTGTCACTCCAGTACCAACCAGCGTAAGAGCTCAGGAATCAATAACTATCTAGCGACTGAGTTCTCAGCTGAGAAGATTCAGTCGTTTTCTGGGAAGGAATCCAAGCAACATTGAAAATGTGTTTGGTTTTTCTTTCAGTAGTGCTGCTCTGAAGGAGAAGAATGAAAGCAGAAGATGGAACAGTACAAATCCATCCCCCAGCAGCACTGGGTACGGGTACACAAACATCACTGCGATCACATCCCTCGCAGTTTCCCAAACAGCTCTTGCAGTAGTTTTGCAGTTCAGTTGAGCTGCACATTTTTCACCTCCAGCTACATAAAATTCATGATGCTTTATCCTGTTCCCCTCACCCAGTCCCAAAAGGCATAAATGAATCCATATTTCTGCCACCTCTCAGAATGCTGTCTGCAAAGCCACCCAGAGGGGGAAAAAAAAATAAAAATCAATCTCCTTCTTAGTATTCCATACTACATTTATAACAATTTGTTTCAATTACAATTTATCTATCTTAAAAGGCACAGAGGCAATGCTGGTTGTGCATGGCCTGATCCCACAGTGTTGCTCATACATCTGTCTTGCGGGTGGAGTTATTGACTCCTTTTGGGGCCAAGTGCAGCTCAAGGGTCTTTCCATCTCAGAGCCTGAGCTCCCCTGCAATTAGACATGGAAAATGGAAACTAAAAAGGATGTGAAAGCTTTGGTCAAGCGTGCTTTTCCTGCAAACAAACCCTTGGAACCTGTCTGCTGCAGAGAGGAGATGGCATCCCTTGGGAGGTGGCATCCATCAGGAGACGGCATCCTTTAGGAGGCTGCATCCATCAGAAGCTGTAGGCAAAGCTCACTATGTGGTATTTTTTTCACATGTAAGAATGTGTTCATAATGTAGACAAATAAATGTATATGAAAAGTTTGCAATTAAATGCTTTCATTTTATATTTTTACATATTGGGTTGCTTAAAGCAAACTAACTTGCATATAAACAGAAGAGAAATGCTCACTTACTCTGCCTTTAAACACACAGGGAGATATGTAACTTTATATAGCAAAGGATTCCAAATCTCTCTGCTGTCCATCTGATTCATAACAAAGTACTCTGATTGTTCTGTCTGACTTGTGCAGGGCTGAGTCTGTATTAGCAGGGGCAGAGTTGGTAAGGTGCTCATCAAGAAGGAACCCAATCTCTTCTCTTTTCTCTCAAGTGATGAGGTCTGTCATGTCAAGCCACAATTTTCATTACAAGTTATATGATGCTTCTTTAGGTGGCTGTGGGAAAAAGACACAAGGAATCAAAATCACACCATCAGCAGAGAATGGATTAACTTCAAGGTGACAGGGAAGAAAAAGGCAAATTATGGTTTTATTTGTAGAGTGTCTCCTGAGTTTTTGATTTGAGACACAAAAAATTTGAGCTGAATCACTGAAAACTGAGTATAATTGAAAAAGATTGCTTAGAAAGGAACTACAGGCTGTCCACTACAGCTCTTGGTCTGTTATTTAGTGGTTTAAAAGGTCTGGGTGCTCAGTTCATTTAAATTGGGTTCTCTCAACTCTGCAGGACCACTAAGCAGCAGCTGAAAACTTATTCCTTCAAAGTTAGTAACAGGTAAGTCATCTTAAATATATATATTTTTAAACATATAGTTCTTAAATCTGTCTATTTTTAAATGTATTTCATGGGGACAAGTAGCACAGCTGATGGCACAGGGCTGATTGATAGCAGGTTTTACTTCAGTTTATATCCATGGACTATAAATAGATGGACTGTGCTCTTTGTGTGCAACTAAACAGTGAATGGAACTATTGGATTAATAAACCCATAGAGATGGATCAGTCTAATAATGCTTACACACATTGCTATAGTTAAAATTTAACTGAAGGACAGGACAGAAAATGAGAGGCAGGTCTCTTGCTTCTTATTCTTTAGAAGGGCTGAAAAGCTTCCCTTTGCTCTTCAGTGGTTAAATCATATATTGACTGATTTCACTATGTAATATATGTTAATTACATATATGAAGCATATAAATCATTTATGCAAAAAATGTATAATTTTTGAAGCAATGATGTCAAAAGTATCATTAGGGTCCAATTTAATTAAAAACAACACACAAAACCATACCATATAAAAGACCAGAAATAAAATAGATTGATTCCAAATGTGATTACTGCTTTAAAGTTTTGAATCAAGAAATCGTACTAGTAGACTTGCAGTATGATAACACTGTATTACAGAGCAGCCAGGTTGGATGAGGCTTGGAGCAACCTACTCTAGTGGAAGGTGTCCCTGCCATGGCAGGGGTTGGAATTGGATGAGCTTTAAGGTCCTTTCAACACAAACCCATCCAGGATTCTGTGATTGTTTGTCATTTCAAATTCATAAAACCTTAATCTCCCAATGTCTTTCCAGTGCAAACCAGGCCAGTTTCAGGAATTCAGCTCAACAGGCTTATTTGGCAGCACAATTAAACCAGACTGCTTTCTAAAGGTTGATTAAAAACCTCTGGATGAAGAAGCATGGGGTCAATATAACATGGAAAAATGACATCTGATCAATGGAAAAAGAAGCATATGGAATCTCTGTTACTTTATCTTGATGATAGATTATTAATTTATGCTTCAGATTCCACACACACTGAATGGGGTCCTGAGTGCCTAATTTACCTATATTCGTGTCATTTGGCTTCTGCCTTAATAGGACACAATGTACATTCTGTCTAATATCCTGTTGTCACTGCCTTTTGTCTTTGTATAGGTCAATTTGGGCAGAAAATAAGAATATATTCTCTTCCTTCAGTCCGGAATACATTTTCATCAGTATTGCTGCCTTTACGTATTCACTGCTTCATTGAAATGAATCCCTATTCAAGGCGTTTTATTCCTCCCGGTCAAAAAAAACAACAAAACAGGTCAAACAAAGTAAGGAATTATTGGTAAAAATATGTGGAATTTAATGAAGAATTATAACTCTTTTTTAGAAAATAATCTATTGACAGTAAATAGCACCTCCTTATCCCCCCCCCAAAAAGCCAAAAGCTACATAGTGTTTTCACAATATAAAGAATGTAAGAGAGGTCATAAAAGAGACAGCTGTTAAGACGGGAATTTGAACAGAGAAGGAACATTTTATCACTCTTTCCCCTAACACTTCAGATACAGATGTGATATAGATGTAGGAACGATTATTTCCAGCCCATTTTCAGAAGAAAAAGTGTGAACAGGCCAGAAAATCCTATCAGGGAGTAAAGACCCTTGCAGGAAGCAGGAAGGAGAGCTGGAACCTACCAAGGTCAGGCTCAAGATCCACGATCTGAAAAGCCATGGTTTGGCAGGACAGCCATAAATCCTCTGCCGACGATCCCTCCCGGCCTTTGCCAGGCTGGATTTGTTGTAACTATGGCAACACCTTGTCTCCAGACCAAAGTTCAATGATTTCACATTTTTATGACCACTGCTGTTCGATTAAAGTTTACCAGGGCAGCTCCGTGCCAGCAGAGAGCAGAGCACTGACAGCGAGGAAGAGGAAGCAACCTCATGCTAAGGAGGACTAAAGTGAATAAAACACCCTGATCTGGTGGGAAAGCTCTGCCAAAATGCCATCCAGGACAAAAACAGCCATGTTTGGCTCTGCTTTTTTCACCTGCCTTTGCTCCTTCGTGGTGATTTGCGTTGTGATGGCGAGCCAGCACTGGATGAGTAGCGAGGTTCGCTTTTTGGGCACTAACTCCAGCACCACTGTAAGCCTCACTTATGGACTTTTTAGTGGTACCTGTGCACAGTCTGTCGATGCAGGACTTCAGGTTTCATCGAAGACGTTCAAAGGTGAGTGGTGGTGTGCCTGGAAATGAATGGAAGCTTCTTGCTCATGCAGGTGGTGAATGTAGAAACCACGGCTCATTCTTGTGTTGATCTGTAGCTGTAACGCTTTAAGTGAGAGCAAGAGTAACTATGTCTGATGGGCATTCAAGTGGTATAAAACAAGGACCCTGAAAACATAGAAACGCTGCTGCGTTCTTGCCAATAGCAATTCTTCAGATTACCTGTGACCTCGAAACAAGGGAAAAAGACAAAATAAGAACTCTATATAAAATTGACTGCAATTTTCAGAAGCTGTCAGTGAGGAAAAGCAACACTCACCGTGTTATTAAAGGATTACAAATGTACTTCACCTTCCATTGTTTTTTAAGATTTCACTATGTTAAATTGTTTGATTTAAAGCACTTTGCCACCTACTATCAAATTATCATCATTTTTATAGAAGGTTCTGTGAGGCTGCTGAAGAAGATGTAAAACAATAATTTACATAGACACAGTGCTCATATATGTGCTGGGCCTACACGTTAATCACAATATTCCTTGAAGAGCATCCCATTACAGTTTTAAGTGGCATTACCAAACTTAACGATTTGGTTAGTATTTTCAAAAGGTATGCTTGCTCCTGTCTCTTTTTCTTAGGTTAGACTGAATTACAACAGAGCTTGTCATCTTCTATAAGGCCTTTCTTCCCCCACTCAGTGTGTGGTATTCAGTCCTTGTTACCATGACTGAGATGAGATTTGGAAACAAGGTTATTAGAACATTTCAGCAACCGTCCAGTAGATTTAAATGAAACTCTATCTTACGTTGATGGGCAACAGATCTTACTTTTTCTGCATCTTCAGTTCTTGGTGTTTATCCTCAATGGTAGAATTGTTATAGAAGAAAATGGATAAAAATGGTTAAATAACTAAGGAGGATGGAAGAACGGAGAGATAAGTGAAGAGAGATATAGGAGTATTATATGGGAATAAAACAAAGTTAAAAATAATGGGAAGAACAGAAAAGGTTTTACCTAGAAAATTGCCCCATCCCTGGCAGTGCTCAAGGCCAGGTTGGACACAGGGGCTTGGAGCAAGCTGCTCTAGTGAAAGGTGTCCCTGCCCATGGCAGGGGTTGGAACTGGATGGGCTTTAAGGTCCCTTCCAACGCAAACCAGTCTGGGATTCTGTGATGGAAGTTAAGACGAGCATGAAAAATCTAGTACCAGAAGCAAAGCATACCAAAAGTGAAACAGAAAGAAGAAATTACTCGTACCAAGTACAAATCACAGACTCAGTACTGGTTTCACTCAGTTCAGCAAAGATTTACTTACCTCTATGCACAAGTAGCCCTACTGATGTGAAGACAAGCAGTCACAAAGCCCAAAGGCAGATAAGCCCGAAAGCTGCTGCAAGGATCAAGGATTTATCTTCCTGCCTGACCAAGTGCAAAGTAATAACACTGATATGCACATGTGAAAGTGCAAAAAGCCATTCAGAAGAAGCCTAATGAAAGTTTAGAAGAGCTGGTCAAACAGTTTCAAAGCATGAGATGTACCTTAAGAAATGTTCTTTTCTTGTAGGCTGCTGTAAGATGTCCCACCACAGAGAAGCCCCCAAGGTAGAGCACAGCACACCGAAACCTCTGGATGGTTCCTATCTCCAAGCTCTTTCTCAACTCAGTTTAGTACAGAAAGTGCATGTGTACAAACAGGAACCCACACTCCCACAGTAGCAAAGCTGTACCATGCAAGCCAGTTCCAATCCTAGCAGTTATGTTGTTATGAAAAACCTGAGCACAACAGTGTTGACTGCAAAACATACAGCATATATTAAGTTCATTACAGAACAAACGCAAAATCACGGTTCAAACCAGTTTATTTGCAATCAGATCAGAATAATCAAAGTCATTTATTGAAAGGTAAATATGCATTTATAAAAATAGTTTATTTAAGGTTATATCTCCCCACACCAGTTGGCTCAAGCCCCAGATCTTGCACCATGTGGGCAGACTCCTGTTGGTTTTAACAGGGCTCCTGTGAAACCAGGAGAGCTGATTGCAGGGCAAGGATGGAGTCTGGCAGGTATCTGGGGCACGTGCCTTGCCTTTGCTTGCACAGCAGCTAGTACAGCCCAAACCCAGGGCCTGGGAGCTACCATCAGGTAGATTTTAATTGCAATTAACAACAAGCAGTCACAGACCACTTACATCAGGAAAGGATTTCAGTTTTATGTATGATCTATGTGTATCTTATAGAATCATAGAATCACAGAATGGTTTGCATTGGAAGGGATCTTAAAGCTCATTCAGCTCCAATCCCTGCCACAGGCAGGGACCCCTTCCACTGGAGCAACTTGCTCCAAGCCCCTGTGTCTAACCTGGCCTTGAACACTGCCAGGGATGGGGCAGCCACAGCTTCTATGGGCAACCCAAATCTTGGTGGTGACCGTGGTGGTTTTCCCCCCACTAGATTTAGGCTTTTGTGCTTATCATTTCTAAAATACGATCTCAGTTCTCACATAGCCATTTAGGGATGAACAAAGCAAGTGAGCTTCAGGAGTCACTGGTTGCTTTGAACAGCTGCTAAAAGAAAGTCATGCTTTATGAATAATCTAAATACGGATTTGCCCACATCCCTCACTAGTTGAGCTGGGCATATATCCAAGGTGAAATGAACTGATTTAACGTTAATTCTTAGGCTTTATACAATGCATGATTGCCGCGTATTAAGTATGATTCTGTACATTCTTGAAATAGGAAAAATACTTCATAGCACTGCATACATACTAGTTTTTAAACTCAAATAATCACTTCCTCCTGTGACAGTAGAAGTTTTTCCTTTCGTGATATCCTTAAGTAAATGGATTGCCTATGCTGTGGAGAAATGGAGTGCTGTGCTTTCTGTTCTCCAACATTTCAGACACCAATAAGAAGAGCTAAAAGCATCCTTTTAAATCACAGCACGATCTGTCGCTCAGCAAATATGCCTTGGCTTTGGGTCTGTGCTGCGCACCCTGAGGGTGTTGCTCAAATGGCTTTGTCATATTTGGGTGTGAGAATAGGAGAATAGGAATCATGAAAGAGTAAATAAAGCATGATGGCTTAGGGATATAGATTACGTGTTAGCAATAGCCCTGGTTAGCTTTTATTAGTGGCCATACAAAAGGAGATTATCAACACATAATCGTTACAAAGACCATATCTTATTCTTTTGGAAATCACAACATTAAAGGACATATCCGAGTGCAAAGATGAAAGAAAAACAAAGGGACAAGGCTTCTGCAAGTGTACAGTAATGAAATGTCTACTCAGGGTAGCCTCTAACAAACTGCCATGAATGACCATAATAGAGCAATAAATCAAAGCAACTGCTTCAGAAGCTCTGGGGATGAGCAGAATGATCTGGCAGAGTGTAAAAGTTATTAAATAACCTAAACCCTTACAGTCTTCATTAGATGTTTTAGTGATTTACCTTAGAAAGGACCCACCTATGGATGTCATAGTGTGTAAAAGAGCCTAAGCTTCTCCTGTTTACAAGTCAAACACGCAAACATTGTGAGCAAGCTGCAGGAAGAGGCACACCCAGAGAGTGATGTAACATCGGGATTCATCCACGTGTTGGCAACCAGCGAGACCAACAGCACTCGAGGAAGTCCCTGAGATTTGCTACAGCAGAGAGGAATCTGTTCATGTTAACTTTTAACATACATGAAAAATGCTTGGAAATCGCTGGGACTTCATTATCGCTGTCATTGGTTTCCAGATGTGCTGTGGGAGCTCCTGGAAAGTAGAAAGCTGAGCTTTACTTTAGGGGGGGTTGTCTGGTTTTGGGAGTTTTGGTTTTGTTTTTAAATGAACAATTCATTGTGTATTGTAAGTGATTGCTAGACCTCATAAAAGCTGCCAGAGCAGCACTGCTTTGAATAGACTTTCAGGCCGGCAACTGGACATCAATCACAATCAGTTCAGTAAAAGTTTGCAAAATTCTATCCATCCATCCAAGAGTTAAAGATGAAAAGACAATAAACAATAAGGAAGAATCAGAAAATTAAGGAGAGACCTTGGCAAAGGCAAAACCTTCTGCTTTCATTGTGGAATTAGGGTGTTTTATAGCGATGCAGAGGTTATCCAGCTGTGGGTTACTATGAATCCCGTTCAATAGATCAGCTGCCATGGAATCCTTCAGTTTGCACAGACTGCTTTATTTAGGAAAACAGCATTTCTGTTAAACCTTGTGCTGTTGCAGGTGTGCTTACAGCCAGAGTCTGACAGAATAACATCCCCTGAGCTGCAGATCATGGTCAGAGATGGACAAGCTCAATCAGGGGGTGCAGCAGGTACAGCCAGGCAATTGTAGAGATGTTCTGAGTGAACACAATAAGCGAGGCTGCCAGAGGGAAATTACACAAACCTGTCTGATTCAGCTCTAGATTTATTTCTTGAGCTAGGCAATGCCCAAGCAGTAAAGCTGCTTCAGTGTAAGTGCATGCTACAACGAGCATCGTTCTCCCTTCCATTTAATTGAGTGATGTCTCCTGAATGCCTGTTTTTCCTATTCTTCTAGGACAATGGCTTAAATTTACAACTGATTTCCATAACACATCCTTACCTGCCATTTTCCTCAAACAGAAATCAACTTCTACCAGCAATATTATACAAATGAGAGAGAAGCTCTCCATTTATTTCCAATAGCTCCTTTTGTTATTATTTTCTTTTTATGGGGCTTTCACTATTTTTCCTGCTATGATTTCTCCAATTTATGCTCTAACTGAATACTTTGCAGTAATGGCTTTGTAATAAAAGCTACCGAGAAAGGAAGTTTTCCTATGGATGGCTGTCTATCACAACACCCATTTGAATAGAGCTTGAAAACGTTCTCATACTCGTTACAGGGTAAGGCAGCCACAGCCACATTATAGCTGCCTTTTCAAGCTTTAAATTAAAAGAATAATGTATTTCAAAGCAGCTGTACTGCAATTACAATTTGAGTATATTGCACTCACTTAGCAGCATCATATCAAATACTTACAGGGATTTAGGCAAAAAAACAATAAATTGATTACAGTCTTGGAGGGGTTGAATATGTGCCTATATATATATATATACACACACACATAGCCATCCACAGCTATAGCTACAGAAACTACAGCACACAATAATCTATGTGTATTAACTGTAGTTAGTTAAAGGAGAGGTGCCAGGATGCTCAGCTCCTGGACACGTGGCCTCAGCCTTGAGAGTTGGAACCCAAGGGCAGGGAGGGCTGAGCCCACATACACCCAATGCCAAGCCCAGGGCCACCAGCCCCTTGGGACCCACAGCACTCTGTACACCCAGTCCTCCCAGTGAAAATGAAGCAGGAGTTGCTCCTTGCTTTCAAAAGAATGAAGCAAATACTGCCTCCACCTATTCTTTTTTCTGCAGGACATGTAGACACATATATCTAATGAGGATACAAACACCAGCTCCACCATGCCTCATCTGTCCATAAACCACAGAATCCTCGAATGGTTTGGGTTGGAAGGGACCTGAAAGCTCATACAGTTCCAACTCCCTGCCATAGGCAGGGACACCTTTCACTAGAGCAGTTTGCTCCAAGCCCGTGTCCAACCTGGCTTTGACCATGCTTAGTTATGTTTGTCCTACAAATTCAGGCTAAAGGCTTTACTGGACTTTTAGAAGCTGTTCCCCTTGTCAGGTTATTCCATATGAGGGGGACTGCTGCTATATTAGAAGGAAATAATCTTCAATTGGAGCCAAGTTTTAGAAAGGCATTTGTACAAGCTATCAGGCATCTCAGGAGCTATGGGCAGAGGAATACCTGGTTTTCTGATCTGATTTAAGATAAGATTTCTGTCTGGCCATGTCAAGAGGAATGATTTACAGAGTATTACAGAATAGGAGTTTCCTACCCAACCAATGCTCAGGTAGTTTGTGTGCCTGCAGGATGTTCAGCCTTGCACTTATTTCATACTAATGTACCTTCATCCCATTATGATTTGGGTTCAAGTGCTATGTCCAAACCTACTGTTCCTTCTACATCCCAATCTCTACAGATCAGCTGTTAGTAGCTTTTATTATTAGCTTTTAATTACAGCTATGTCAGTAAGCCATCAGTTCTTCTCAGCCCACCAGACTGTGCTGGAAGGCAGATTATCAATGCTAATCCATTGTATTTCAGTTGCAGATAACCTGAGCGACACCAGTGCAAAAAGCATGATCACATCTATTATTGTGATCCTGGTCCTCAGTTTACTGAGTTCCCTCCTGAGCTCTGGATTTACCTGCACTAACGCTGTCAGTAATCCCTACCAGACCTTTCTGGGACCTATTGGAGTCTATACCTGGAATTCCTTATGTGGTGAGTAACACGTCCCATGGTGACCACTTTCTGCCCACCATATGAATGAATATTGAACTGCCATCAGTTCCAAGGTGATTAAATATATATATGTGTGAAAGGAAGCACTTGGAAAAGTATTCAGTTTAGGTGGGTTTGGTTTTTAACTGACTCTGCTGGGGTACCTGGAAACTATCTTTGAAGTACCAGTAAAACAGTATCATTTACTTCAAGTGACACCATCAATCAGTAGGAATCAAGGTTCACCAGCAGCAAAAATGGAAATGAAAAAGCCCCAAACAGGTACAGCATCATTTAATGCATGATGCACACTGAGAAGAATAAGATGACAAATACATAGAGAAACCGTAAAAGAAAAGTATGCACTAGATGTGATTACACTGCAGTCTGTAACCTCTTTAAGACTTTACGTCACTATTTTATGGTATTTGTAGCATGTTTGTTACTGGGTTACCTACATATCAAATTGAGCCTCTAAGGTCTAATCCACAGGGTGGACTTTAGCTTCGTTTCCGACACGTGTTGAGTCAAATACATCTGCAGCAGCATTAACACAGGGATTTGGTAGTTAGGAGGACTGAGTCATGGTAAAATTTATTTCCTTCTCTAATATAACACTTTCACAGATCAAGATCAGCTTTAACATTCCCTAAGCAGAGAAAATAAAAGGTAGAGACACAGAGCTATTGGAGATGTGAACCCTGTCAAACAGGTCCCTGGAGGTGTAAACCCTCATTCACCCAGGAATGCTCCCGATGCTCCTTCCTACCCTCTTCACCTTGCTATGGTAATGACTCCAGCTCTCACACTCAATTTGAACCAAGCAGATTTTGTGTTCCTCTTATAATAGGTTCACACTCGGAAAACTTTCTTTGGAGGCATCTGATTACAGAGTACTTCAGTGTGAATATCCTGTCCTTCAAAAGCTAGTCAGGTCTGAAGATGCTTCACTGATGGAGCTGGAGCTTGCTCTCCTTTGAGCAGCATCCTGTGCTTCGGCCCCACTCCGTGAGATGCCTTTGCCAAAACCACACCTTGGTGAAAGGCAGTCACACAAATAAACGTAGTCTTCGTGATAGCATGTGCAAGTGGGGGTGTGAAACCCAATCCTTTCTTTCCAACCATGGCTAACACAGCATTCAAAGACAGATGCTGAAACAGCTGTGGATGCCTTGGAACACAGTGAAAAAAGGTGTGGAAAAGCCTAAGTTTAACGATCATTCAACTTTTGACACAAGCAGATGAGCAAGTTGCTCGTTTGCCAAGCCCAGCACCCATTACACAGCCTGAATCTGCAAGCTTTGACCTGAAATGAAAGGACCATGGGCACGCCAAAGTAAATATTAGTGAGAAAGTAAACCCCCAAATGCCTTGACTGAGGACTGTGGTTACTCTTTACTGCCCTGTAAGTGCTATGACCTGGAAGCCTATTTTGCCCTGGGCCCATCTTTATAAGAATTCATGCATCATTTGATGCGTGAGTGCATCTTGAAGGTTCCTAATTCTCCTGCCAGATGGCATGAAAGTCTAGTGTCCTCCTCAATAAAAACCCTGAACCTGTTTCAGCATGAACATGTGCAGGAGGGTGAACCTGGAGGGGAAGGAATACATGTTTTCTCACCAATGGTCAGAGGTTATGCCTGCATTATGAAAGTAGAAATTGAAAAGCATTATTTAGCTAAACATCAAAGTAACCAAACTTTTATCATCATCATATATTTCTATGGCCACGCAGGATATTCAGAAGGCTATAGGAAGTAGATCCAGAACATAGAACCTCAGACTGTTTTGTGGTGGAAAGGACCTTAAAGCTCATCCAGTTCCAACCTCCTGCCATGGGCAGGGACACCTTCCACTAGAGCAGTTGCATCTCATTTTGGCTCATCACAGTGTCACTGAATAATCTGGGTTGGAAATAACATGAAGTCTTTAAGTTTAAGCTCTTGAACCGAGCTGGGCCATCCCTGGATGCAGACCAGGTTGCTCAGGGTTTATCCAGTTGTGATAATACACTCCATGAATTTGGGCTTGTATCAAATAGGCATTCTGGAAATCACCCAAGGGGTGAATACATTGTACCCTTCAGCACTAAATTCAGTGCTAAACAATGGCCTTATCTAAGAATAGTCAGTAAGAATCCATTCATTTTAGCAGAAATTATAGTTACCAGTGTGAAAACACCCAGTAGCTAATATTATGTTGGACAAAAGTTCTTTAAATGCCCTCCTATTTTACTAATGGAAACCTCTAGATTAATCTTTGTCCTACTCCAGGTATTCTAACCCATTCAAGTAGACTGTTTACAAGGAGCTACATGAGTATTACTACAGCTTCACCTCTAACATTTGTATTTATGTTTTGTAGGAATCTTCACACTTATAGCCATGATACTTTTCCCTGTGAGCATAGAAGAAAACAGCCTGTCTGTCAAATTGGCCCAGGGATGCTTTGCTTTTCTGCAGACACACGTGGGATCGGAACACACATATGGATATTCATACTGGATCATGCTGCTCATCATTCTTCTGAACATTGCTTCTATCATCACCATCTATTTCTATGACCATGCGAGATATTCTAAGAAAAAAGAGCAGGAAAGACCCATTGAAAATGCACCAAAAGATGTCATTCTCTTTTAGGGATACCACTGAAAAGAGGGTGTCAAGGAAAATGACTATTTAACACGGACAATTGGGGCTGATCTTTTCCATTCAAATTGAATTGTGTGTATACTTCGATTAACAAAACAGCTTATTGTGTCTTCAATGCAATTTGATTTTATCCTTATGCTGGGTATTAGTGTCATACTAATATGCTTCCATTGGTAAACATGCTGCCTACACACCTCTGAGTAGATATGGACCAGAGGGCACAATGCCAGCGCTGTCCCACAGGAATGGGCCTCGAGCACCTTATGGCGCTGCTCTTCCCCAGAGGGACTGCTGGAAGGGTTTCTCCTCTCCGTACCACTGCTACCACCTTCCCAAGAGGACTGCTGCCTTCCTGCCCATGCAGTGCAGAAGGGTGGGTTCCCACTTCTGCCTAGATCTGTGGAGGCTGACCTGGCTCTCTGCAGGGATGCACCAACACCACCACGCCATGAATTTGCTTCTGCTTTGCCCTTGGTGTTTGAAAGGGAAGGACAGAGACGTTGTTTGGGTTGTGTATGTAATTTAGGATCTCAAGGGGCAGAATTAGCACAAACACCAGCAACACTGGGGGTGGTGAGACATGCCCACCAAGGTATTGGTGCTCCATTTTGTCCTGCAACTGTCCTTAGGAATCTCCTGCTGGTCCCTATGGCACTGCCCTGGTGTCTGCAGGCAGGATCGCGGGCTCCTGTTCATGGGCAGGAGTGCGAGCACTTGAACAAAGTCACCTCTGGTCTGCCCCCTCCACATCAAACCTCCCAGCAGTGGCAGCACAGACCCTGTCCCATGCTTTGGTTGGTGCTTTCACCCAAGGCTGGGATAGCAAAAGGATGTGCCATAGCCTACAGGAGACAGCACAGGAGCCCTATAGCTGCAAGCTGTTACTTTGAGAAACATCAGCATAACCCTGTTTCCAGCTGTTGACAGCAAAAGGCAAAGCTGCACCTTGAGCAAGGCTGGACATCTGCTTCCCATCTATTAAACCAGACTGTCATTTTGCCCCAAGAGAAAAGCCAAATATTGGGCTTTATTAGTGACTATTTATGACCAGTAACATCCCTGTGCCCAGATTAGTTAGTACCATAGGATCCCAGACTGGTTTGTGTTGGAAGGGACCTCAAAGCTCCTCCAGCTCCAACCCCTGCCACAGGCAGGGACCCCTTCCACTGGAGCAGCTTGCTCCAAGCCCCTGTGTCCAACCTGGCCTTGAGCACTGCCAGGGATGGGGCAGCCACAGCTTCTCTGGGCACCCTGTGCCAGCGCCTCAGCACCCTCACAGGGAAGAGCTTCTGCCTAAGAGCTCAGCTCAGTCTCCCCTCTGGCAGGTTCAAGCCATTCCCCTTGGCCTGTCCCTACAGGCCCTTGTCCCAAGCCCCTCTCCAGGTTTCCTGCAGCCCCTTTAGGCACTGGAGCTGCTCTAAGGTCTCCCCTTCAGGAGCCTTCTCTTCTCCAGGCTGCCCCAGCCCAGCTCTCTCAGCCTGGCTCCAGAGCAGAGCTGCGCCAGCCCTCGCAGCATCTCCATGGCCTCCTCTGTATTTAATATACCTCCTCTCCCAGTATTTAATATAGATATTATTATATATATATTAATATATATATTAATATATAATATATATTTAATATATAACAAAGACACACAGCTGTAGAAGTGCACAGAAATGAGGAGCTCCCTTCCTGTTCCCCCGAGGAAATGTCAGCAGACAAATATGACCTTGAGGCAGATGCCATTGTGCAAAATCATGCTCAGTGTAGATGCCCCAGGGGAGCTGCACTGGTCCAAAGGGTGTCCAGCACCTCCTGCTCCTTTGCTCCTCACCCCTGCAGGACAGGAAGCAGGTTTTTTACTGTCATTTTCCTGTACAATGTGATTTTCATGGCAGTACCTGATAGCCCTCCTTTGATGCAAGAGATGCTCACAGAGCAAAAAAAGAAAGCATTTCTGAAGAGGAGATGAGAAGATAAAGAGGTGACTTCTCACTATTTACATGCAAAAATAAAGTTTCTGGATTAAAGTGCCCAATACTTTATGCAGCTGTGCTCTTTCCAAGGAAGCAAAGCTTTTCCATCCTACTTAAGCATTTAGCTAAAAGTACAATGAGGGATGGAGAAAAAGCAATAAAAGAGGGTTTCTAAGACTTGAGGGGCAGCACAGAGGTCAAGAAGATAAGTTATCTGCTTTCCACTGCTGGCAAGAGCTACGCTTAGAACTGCTTGTCAGTGCCATGAGCATTGCAGTTGAACCATGGTGTTGTGTTCTGCGTACCCGCCAGCTAAGCTGGTGGAAAGCCAAAGCTTCACCAGCTTTGCTTTGCCTGCAAATGTCTTCACACCATTTCAGCACTTATCTGTCACTGCTGTACTCAGCCAGCATCCATCACAACACAGCTACACTGACATCAGGCACTTGCTCGCGGAGAAATGAAGTTGTGGCAATCGAGTAATACCAAGGAACAAGGGGTCCTGCTTTGGAAAGTGGTGGCTTATCACTGCTTGGGGATTTCTAGTGCACTAATTGCCATGGAAAAGCTGGAAGAAAAGCCCGTTGCCACTTTAATGTGCCTGTTTGAACCGCATGGCTTAGACAAAAATCAGTTTGGAAGTCTCAGATCTTATGGCTGATCAAGATGAAGATGTCCCTGCTCATTGCAGCAGGCTAGAACTAGATGACCTCTGAAGGTCCCTTCCAACCCAAACTATTCTATGATTCTATGACACATATGGCTGCAAAGTGGCAGAGATTTGTGTCACTGGACAGTCACTGCAGTGTGTGAGCTTACCTACTTTGATGCAAACCACAGACAAAAATCACTGCAATTAACATTGCAATTTAGCAAAAACCCCCAAATTTAAACAGTCTAGTTGTAGGTGACTACTGCTACCTCGATATTCTTAGTCTCAATGTTTTATTTCAAGTTAAAGGCAAGACCCTCTTTTTCAAGCTCAAAATGACCTTCTCTGCCCTATGCTACACTCTTTCTGCTTCGTGCAGTGGTATCAGCCTGGGAGATGCTGCTGATGGAGTTGAGCAGGCGGCAGGTTCCCATGGTACCAAGTACACAGTGCCCCAAGGAATGGCCACACATCCCTGCATGGATGGACTCAGCCTAGCTCAACAGGGCTGCATGGGGAAGAACAGCCAGGAGGGGCGAGTGGGACAATGCAAGGAGGAGAAGTGGATGCAAAAGACTGCCACACACTTTTCTCCCTATATTTCTCCATAAAATGCCACCTCAGCCATATAAAGTGGTAGCAAAGTGATGTGTGCCACAGGGATTGTTATAGCCTAAAATGAGGATAACAAAAGGTCAGTTCTCAGGTAACTGCCTGGATTTGGAAGCACCTCCTTTTAAATTCAATTACAATACACAAGATTCTGGAATTACCCAATACAAGACCCCTGGAATTACCCGTCTCCAGGACAGGGCTCATCCTGGCAGGAAAACACATGGGATGAGCACACAGGAAGCCAAACCATTCAGGTGTCCATTTAATGAATCAAAACCTCAGTAAGTGGGAATTGTGCATCTGGCTTACAGCCTCGTCTACCAGAGGAAGAGAGAGATAAAATTAAAAACAGAAGATGCAACATAATCCAACCTTACATTTACACTTTAGGATATCAAAAAGGAACCATCCTGGCTCTTGCCAACGGGGCAGCCTTTGAAATGAATGGAGCAGTGTTCAGTGCACTTATCCTCTTAATGAGGACAAATCCTGGCAGTTTACCCTTAGGTAAAAAGGAAAAGAGCTTACGCTGTCAGCTTGATGCGCTCTTGAAAGAGAAATCAGGCTCCCATCTTATCTGAACCCGGGGTAATTTTACACATTCATCACTCCCCAGGGGTTGAAGCGCTTTGGGTTTCACCAGGAGCTGTGCCTGGTCGGGTCAAGGGAGGGATCCGGGCTGAAACCAGCGGAAAGATGAATCCTCCCTCCAGCATCCCAGGTCACAGCTCTGAGCTCTCCAAAGCAGGATGCGTGCAGTGTGCTCACTTGCCTTGCCGCTCAGGTCTGAAGGTGGATAGGAAATGCCAAAACCCGAGTTTGAGTCCCATATCTACATGCATGGCTTCTGCTGCCTGCCTGGCTCAGCACCAGTAACCCTGTAAGGGCTTTGGGTAGGAAAACATGAGAATCAGGTGTGAATAGGGCCAGAAGCAGTTTTGGCTCCTGCCCATGGAGCCAGCACCAAGGGCAAGAAAGAAGGACGGACAGTGGTCAGCAGCCCTCGTTCTTCTCCCCCTTTGGTGGACATAAAAGGTCTCTCTTCCTTCTTTTTCTCCCCAAAGGAGAAATCAAAGGCAGCCTCTTGCTCCCAATCCATGCCAGCCTATCCATAATAGTTGTTCTGCCCAAATAAGTGAATAACTTTCCTCTGGCTAAGTAACTTGGATGCTTCAGCTCAAGTGACCATGATATCAGGCAGAAGCTCTTCCCTGTGAGGGTGCTGAGGCGCTGGCACAGGGTGCCCAGAGAAGCTGTGGCTGCCCCATCCCTGGCAGTGCTCAAGGCCAGGTTGGACACAGGGGCTTGGAGCAAGCTGCTCCAGTGGAAGGGGTCCCTGCCTGTGGCAGGGGTTGGAGCTGGGTGAGCTTTAAGGTCCCTTCCAACCACACTGGGATTCTATGATTGAACTAATAGATGTTAGAGTAATCATATACAGCATTACTTGGTAATATATTCCCACCCCAGAACCTCTGCTTCCTACTTACACAAGATCTATTTCAGCTTTACAGTTTGCTTAAAGTTTCACACTGGATGAAAGTTACACCAAATTCACCAAGCGTAGAAATGCTGAATAAAGGCAGCTTTTCCTCTGAAAACAGAGAAGATCCTCAATACCTGGTAAATTATCAGTCACCTTAACGCTTAGCAGCAGCTGAAAACACTTAATAAGACACACTGCAAACCTCACAGCAGGCAAAAGCAATAATTTCTGATGCAGGCATATCTACTTGACAGCACGGCAGAAGCTAGTTAACTTCACAATTACAGAGAAAAGAGCCAGCACAGCTTTGCTGGTACCCACAGGCAAAAGAGACTCAGTCAATAAAACCAATCCCTGTCCCCCAGGAGCTATTCTGCTAAAGAGTCATCCAGCTCCTGCTATTTAAA